TCTGAGATTCACACTCCCGTATTTGTCTATGTATGTATAAACCCCACCTTGGCAAGTTCTGTGGTGAACTCACACACCTTCAGACTTCAGATGATGCATCCATTTAAAGACCCATTCAACATACGCCTAGGATGAGGGTTTCATGTCCTACAGCCTTCGCCCCTTCTGCCGAAGACTTCCAAGTCCACACTGGCACACCTAGGCCAGCAATTTGTGCCTGTTTGTTCTCTGGGTTTGGGGGTAGCAGAGATAGAAAAGATGCAGAAGCAATTTCTTTTCAAAGAGCTTTCAGAGTTTTTCAACCTTTTATTCTACAGGGGAGGGAGAGAGGCCAATAGGATGAATCTCTTTTCCATGTTTGAATTTTGTTCAGAGGGTGCATGTATGTGCATGTGATTTTCAAGCTTCTGGGTCTGGAATTTGAACCTCTCAGTCAGTCATGTGGAATGCAGTGCCTTAACATCCATGCTGTTGTAGAAAAACAGATGCTAAGGAATGAAAAACGGCACTCAGGAGAGAAAGGAGAACTCTTTATAATGTCGGTGGGTACAGAGGAGTTAATACTCTGAATCTCCAGCCCCAGCTGAGAGTTGGACACAGTCTTTTATGGGTGAGTTGGGGAGGGGCAGTTTCAGCTCACTTGGAGTGTCCTATCTGGGAAGGAGCTCAGTGTCTGCCCTAATACCAAGCTGGTAGAGAAGTAGGGAATCTAACATACTCAAGGCTTCCAGCCGCTCTCAACAGTTCAGGGGAGGGGCAGCTAGCTCATGGGGGAACAGAAAGCCCAGGCAGCTATCAGCCCTGGGTTGCTTCAAGGTTTGCCCACAAGTTCCAGGTTGCTCCGTATCAGTGCCACCTGCAGGCCTACCCCACACCAGTTTTATAACCCACTGAACATCTGTCTCACCCTTCTGGAGTAGAAAACACACAGCTCTCTAACTAGAGACGAGCTCTACAGGGCAGAGACCTCACATGCAGCAGAAGGCACGCAGGCTCGCTCCCATTTTTCTTGTTTCTTTTCAGTTGTCTCAGCATGTTCTCATGGGCACGGTCCACTGAGAGACCCCAAATGTGAATGCAGTGGAGCTGGGTCACAGGAGGACTTGACTGCACACACAAATGGTGGCTTCAACTGTTGAGTTAGTTTGCTTCCAGCCGAATCAGATCTGAACTCAGATTCCCTCTTCAAGTCCCTCTCTGCTACAGGACCTAAGAAAAACCTAAGATTGCAACCTACAGCGCGACGCCCATCCTCCCTCCCCAGGAAGCACTTCTTGGGAAACTCACGCTGCCTCACACACCACCTGGACACTGGCCCTCAGGAGAGAAAAAGGTGAAAGGCACAGCCTTGTAATTTCCAACTTGGAATACCCCCCCAGGTTGTTAATAAATACTTTAAGTCCTGTGGAAATGAGCACAAAATTAGCAATCCTTCTACAAAGTCTAGTGCCATTTCGGACTCTGATGTCTCACAACCAAGATGAAGTTCATTTGTTTGTAAGTTCCTCATGTGCTTTGTCAGAGCAATTTAACATACAGGAAACCAAAAAAAATGCAAACATGGGTTGATGAGCTAACAAAATCACAAGTCACATAGCTAAAAACTCATCTCAGATTGATTTTGGAAAGTTTGGATAATTTAACTATTTGGTAATAATGCGGACTGTTTAGAAACGAGATATTTGAATCCTAAAATTTGGTGTTAGAACTGTTTATTATCATTTTTTAAAGAGTTTGGCCATAGGCCACATGCACTCGCTAAAGAGAGACAGAGGGAGGGAAAGTGAGAAATCACTCCCTGGTGGGATGGCCATGCCCCAGTCCTTCTTCTTCTGAGATTTTGGGCCCTCACAAACATACACACAGTCAGCATGGTTTTCAAGCCATCAGGTCCTGAAATTGTACATTGCACAATTGGCCATGAGGAAGTCCAGTGCCTTAACCACACCACCCACTGGCCCTCCCTACTGATGATTTTAACATGACTTAAAAAGGCAAAACACTTGAGGCCACTGCTGCAACATAATGGATTTATGATTTTTTTTTTTAATTTTTGCTGTAAGGCACATGTGCTCACTGGACACAGAGAGAGAGAGAGAGAGAAAGAGAGAGAGAGAGAGAGAAGGCTAAGGCAATGCCAGAAGTGGCAGGGAAGAGTGGGACTCCCAGGGAAAAAGAAACTGGCCCACCTGACCTAGCAGTAAGACCAAGGCCAAATACCCAACTGCGCTGAGCAGCAATGAATGTATGAAGAGCACCAGCGGGCAGGTCCCTGCCCTCCTGAGACAGGCCAGGCAGGCCGGGAAGCGATGCAGGCCCTGCTGGAGATTCTTGAATCTGGGGGTCAAAAACAGGCCTGGATTCCATGCCGGCTGTTAGGGCTCCAGGGTAAGGACCACACTCCTGTTGCTTCTCAGGAACCAGATGCTGCAGAGGTCCCAGAGCCGGGAGCCCGTACTTATCTTAAACATGGATTTTTTCAGGGGCTAGCAGTTGGTGTAACAGTTGCATCGCTGGACTCCAACATGGCCAACTGCAGTTCAAGTCCTGGATGCAGCAGCTTAAAACTCACGCTGGACGCATGTGCATGCCCAAGATTCCAGGAGGAGAATGGAGGAAAAGAGATTGCTGAATGACCATCCTCCCCAGGGGGTGATTTCTCACTTTCTCTGTCTCTGTCTCTCTGTCTCTCCCCAGCTAGCACACACCCCTAAGGCAAAAATCTTCAAAAAAAAAAAAAAAAAAGATTTTTCATCTCGTAATTGATAAAGGGGATTTTATATGCAAAGCCCCAGAAAAGAATGCACTGTGATACCTCATTAATTATACACCCACATTCTTCTTACTGATATTCTCAATTTGCTGTTCTTCAGATACCAGTAACTGGATTAATTCTGCTGATCCTTCTCACTCAAGAAAGCGGTGAGTTACCTCTGGAACGTTGGTGCTACCACCTTGACAACGGGGCTGGCTTTTTATTACAGCGACCACAATGGGCTTTACATTTCCCTTGCTGCGAAAGCGCATTTGGGATAAGAGTCTAAGACAGAAGGTTTGCCACTGACTTACTCTTAGGAAAAGTCCACATGCAAATATAGCTCCCTAAAAAGAGAGTTCCTATTTTATTTATTTAAGTTTTGCAAACAATTGTAGAGGCAGGGCGTTAAACTGATTGGAATCTCACAAAGATTGACATTATTGCTTAAAGTGCTTGAACTGGTTACATTAAAAAATTAAGGTACAGTTTATTTTAAATAAAAACTACATATTTTTTAAGCAACAAAACCAAATGAATGCCACACGAATACAGTAACTATTTTGGTTCTACAAATGGAAGGCAAAAATAAATTAATGTAATACTGGAAAACAGAAATTTAATCAGGCAGAAAAGTAGGAAATGATTTCCCCTGACCCATGCCATTGACATGAGTTAATCACAACGGTGCCAATAAATGCCTTGACCGTGCTGAATAGCAAATGGGGCCAAACATTTACTGCACGATATTTTAATACACATGAATGTACAAAGTTGATCGAAATGCCGTGTTTAAAGATAAAATCCATCTGTAATAAAGCTACACGCCAGTATCTAAAATAAGCCCTAAGCTCCAGTTAGAATGTAATTCTTTATTAGGCTTGTCCATGAGATTAAGGGTATCCACAAAAATAACCGTAGGAACCACTTCTGACATTTTTTTTTTTCCATTTCATTTTAAATCTAAAATATACCAGGGCATAAAACCAACTGTGACTGGCCTTCTATTCGAACCCATGCCCTGCTCATATTGTTCAACTGTTCCTCTTCAATCCAGCCACTCCATGTTGCCCCGGAATGGAAGACACCTCAGCAAACCGGGACTGGAGGGCACCTGACCAAAAGATATTGTTAGACACCTGACTTTTTAGCATACCGTACTATAATCTAGATGCAAAACTAGTAAGTAAGCAATGAAGCAATTTCTTTTCTTTTTGAAGTGTAAAATACTCTAATTTATTTTAAAATACCCAGCAATGAAACGAAATAAAGGGCCTACAGGCTCCTGTCAGGAAATGGCACAGGGACGGCAGCCCTGGAGGGAGTATTGCTGAGCCTTTGTGCTATCACTGGCCGCAGAATGCCCCCCCCACACACACACACACACACTCTTCCCTGCTTCACTCTATACATGAGGGATGCAGAGTGTTTTCATGCTCTGGTCTTCGCATAAAGAGAAATGATGAGGGATATAGCTGCCTGGTTTCATTTCTGGAAGAGGAAGAGGGAAGAAAATTACCAGAGTGTGGCAGGTGGGTGGCGTGGTGGCTGAGGCTGACTCATCCCATGTGGCGACTTTGCGGTTCGAGTCGGCACATGTGCGTGCATGCCCAAAAATCCCAAAAGGAGAGTGGAGGAGAAGGGATTGTAGCGTGGTCATCCCTCCCTGGGGGTGATTTCTCTCTCTCTCTGGTCAGTGCATGCACCCTAACACAAGAGGAGGGGGGAAGCAAAACAAAACAGAAAGAAAGACCAAGTAGCTTGAAATTTAAAACAAACAAAAAATAAACAAAACAAAACAAAACAAAAAACCTGGAGTGTTGATGGAGAAGTACATTTTGGTCTTCTTCCAATCTTCTTTTTCTGCATCACACAGCTGTTTGAACATCTTTGCAGCATTTCCCATACCTATCTTTGTTTAAAAAAAAAACTATGAATACTGAATTTTAACTAACTTTCTATTCAAAGAAATTTCTTAACTCACCAGGAAAAAAGGCTACATAGTCAAACAAAAGAAATGTGCTTGAGGAGCCAGCAGGAAGGTGCTGGATCCCACATGGCCAATAGTGGTTCAAGATCTGGACCTAGTGGCTTGAAACTCACACCAGGCACATGTGCACGTGTGCTCAAAATGCCAGGAGAATGGAGGAGAAGGGATGGTGGTGTGGCCATTTCCCCTGGGAAAGTGATTTCTCACTTTCCCTCTCTCTGTCTCTTTCTGTCTCTGTGGCAAGTGCACACACCCTATGGCAAAAACCTTAAAAAAAAAAAAAAAAGTGCTTGAACCTGTGACTTAGTATTTAAATATTCCTTCTATAGGCTTCCAATTGAAACACTGTTTTTTCTAATAAATTAGCTTCAAGAGTCATTTCAAAGATAATTTTAATAGTTCTCTTTTATGAATTGGTTTCAAATATATTAGAGATCAACCATCATTTTCTTACATGTTTTAACCTGCAGTCAAATAAATGGGTTATATAGAGTACAAACATTTCCCTGTATCAATCACCTTTGATTGGAAAGTGCCTCTCCTTAGAAAAAAGAATGTAGACTCCCCTTCCAGGTAAGTGATTACGGCATATGGTTCGTGAAGGACAAAAAGACGGAATATTTATAAATATGAGTTTGCCTCTAGACAAGGCAAGGTATATGTTCATCACATAGATAAAACAATGACATGAAGGTCACCCTGTTTCGTCTTCTCCAGTGAAAAGTAAGACATTTCACTTCAAGTATGAACAAATGAAGTGTCGGCATGCTTGTTTAAGTTCTGAGCAATAAACAGTTCAAGATATTTCAAAAATAAGAAATCCAGTTTTCATCTAGATAAAGTGCTATCCTCTTCATTGCTGCAAAATGGCCTCTAACGTTTTCAATTTCAATTTTATTACAAGTTCACATTATGCCCAAAATCTGCAGGTTCGTTCGCGGACGTAGCAGGAAACAAAATCATGTGTCTGTTCACAGTACGTTGTAGTGTATGGAAGTTAATGGACATCCCGAAGGAAGCCAAGATCTAAGACTCAGAGTATTGAAGGACACCGAAAGCCAGCTCAACAGCAAAATACCAAATTGACCCTTTTAATAAAAGGTACCAATACTCAGATGCTCTAATAAATACATACATAACAAAAGTGAAAAAAGTAATATAGTGAGATGAGGTTTTTCCAAAAACTGTCTTGTCAACCATTCTAGGAGTCTGAACCAGAGAAATGGCCGCCATTTTGTTCCGTTCTCCCCACTCCCACTAACACTTCCTTTGACCCATCTTCGTATCCAGCCACCTCCAGTATTCCCTCTAGGAAGGGTTCCGTAGCAGCCCTGGGACTCGCCGGTGCCTCAGTAAACAGACTGAACATGTTAAAAAAATTAAGTTGTACAATGCGGCTGACGATTGTAAAGGTGCAGTGCCTCGTCACCCCTGATAAAGGACAATGCTGGAGCTTCCTGGCTAAGGGAAGTTGTGCGAAGTAACCCAGCCCTGCAACCACGACTGTGAAATATCAGCCGGATTGAAAAGAGACCTTAAAAAGCTCAGCAGTGCCAGATATAGGAAAAACACAATTCACAGGATGTTATAGAAGAAAAGCGTCACTAAAAATAAACAGCATGGTGTTATTTTCCTGAAACTTGGTTTTGGTAGAAAGGTAAGAAAAGGAACTTTTCACTGTTCAAACTTTCTCCTCTTAACTATGCCTGACCTGAGCTCCATACCTTCTTAGCCCCTGGAATTTGAATGCTAAGTAAGCAGAGTCCAGGGTGGCCCCCTGTCACCACCACCAGCTTCTCTTCACCCAGTTCCACATGGGACATGTGTCATCCGCATGAACTTAAAGCTATCGTTGCAGCCCTAAAAGGTGAACATCTACCCAATTCTTCTGTCCTTCTATGAGAAAAGAGGCAGAGAAGCTACAAATGGGTAGCATTGCTTCCAGGGATAAGTTAAAGGAATGCTTTGTAAGGAGATCCCGGAAGCCATTTAGGAAGGTTAGCAGACACCCAACACAGACTTGAGACATTCACAGGAAGTGTCTATTCCAGCCAGACATAATGACAGGCATAGCATTCACTCAATCCTAAAATTAGCAACTGTTATTCCTAAAAATCTTACTACCATCTGATTGCAGTTCACTCTACCTCAGACCAAGACAAAACCAGGAGTGGCGCTGCGAGTAAGAAAATGAAGAGAGAGGAAGAGTCTCGTACAGCCGGACCAGTGAGACGCGGAGTGAAACCATTAGTGGGCCACTGGGGAAGAAGGAAGTCTGCGGAGGAGCCAGGTACTAGTGCTTTGAACATTTCCCGCACTTGATTTAGTCCCACAGTTCTTTAAGTTATTCTCTTGACTGATAGAATAAAATATATCCCGATTCTGAGTTTTTTGATATATCTGACGTCAGGCCATAGAATTCTTCAATAGCTTGAGCATCTATTTTCTGCAATGAAAGAGGAAGAAAACAAAACAGTTACTCAACATGATTCTGGGGAAAGAAAGAAAAACTAGTAGAACGTACAGTAAGACATTAAGGAACATAATCAGGAACTTTCCATGGACTCGACAGAGGGACATCACTACACCAACTGCAAATTGCTAGGGAAGAAAGCTCCTCTTACACCTCTCAGCAACGAGATCTGCTCACTCTTTGATGAACCTAGGATGTCTATCTTCCAACTGGTAAACTGTGGGGTCTTGGGAGTAACCTCAGTTCTTTCAGGCCACCGGAGTTCATTTCCTTTAGAGTAATTCCAGTGAAAGAGCCACTCTACCGGGTCAAAGTAAAGCATGTCTCTGAGGGCAGAATTCACTCCAGCAAGTATTCCTTCAGAACAAAATCAATATATATGGAATACCCTGGTATAAAATAAAGATTTCCATAGCCAACAGATTGTAAAGATATTTTACACAATAATCCGCACAAGAGGAATTTGGTATAATAAAGGAATTTTAATAGAACTGTCAAGTCTCTTGTTTGCCCTGCACCAGAGAGGGCTTATGTAAAGTGGGACTTGCACATAAAGACAATTCAGGGTGGCACAAATATATAGAGTCCAGGTCTCTGGATGACCAAGAAACTAACAAGAACACGTAATTAACGGGTGCACAATTGCACCCTTTCTCCCTTTCTGTAGAGAATGAGGATCAGCAAGATTTAGTTTTGATAGAAACATAAGTTGTTTTTGAGTCAGTCTGTGGAAAACAGGGATGTTTTAGAAAATGTCCACACAGAAACCTCCCCCCAGATACTGCCCGTTCCTCGGCCCATGAGAAGGCAACCTGCATACCAACCTCTACGATGTCGTCATCAAACAAAAGCCAGAAGCCGTGGCTTTTCACAATAGTAATATAATGCCCACGATTGGGACCACTGGAAAAGAACAACGAAAAAGAGTTACTGAGTCAGCGTCGACGCCACAGAACTCTACTCAGCACCGTGTAAGTGGGTTTCACTAGGGGAAAAATGATGTCATCGGGACAGAGAAGTAGGTCTAGTTCCCGTCTAAGTCCCGATTTGTGGAGGAGCACCCAGGTGCTGGTATCACACCGGACACAGAGGAAAACAAAAGTGCAAGGACGAGAAGCCACACTCCGGGGCCAGCAGGTGGCAGAGTCGTTAAGTTGCTAGACTCCCACATGTTTGAGTCCCAGACCTTTAGGGCTTGCGAATCCTACTGGGCATGTGTGCATGCATGCTCAAAACCTCAGGAGAAAAAGGGAGGAGAAGGGACTGCGGCATGGCCAGCTCCCTGGGGAGTGATTTCTCCCTTTCCCTCTCTCTGTCACTCTTTGGCAAGTGCATGTGTCCTATGGCAAACAACTAAAAAAGAGAGACATCCATCTTTTAAGGGCTCACGGATATTCAAATTCAACAAATATTAGCAAATAATTACTATATACCTACTATGTGCCGTGCCCTACTCTGTTGTCAGGAAAACAAAAATAAAAAATAAAAACCAAAACAGTGAGAAAAACGAAGTCCTCACTTTCCTGGGTCTTGGGGTAGGAGCCAGGGAGACAATAAGCAATGAACGTCTAGACCTGTGTCCACCAGGAAGATGGTGGCCAGGTAACAGGCTACTGAGTGACGGGCAAGAGGTATTATTTGACAGGAAGTGGAAAAAGGAGGCCTCTTTGATAATACGAGATTTGGGTATGGGGAAATTTAACTGAGGGAAATCAGGCAAGGTGGGAGGGTGAGGGGAGCTGGTGTGTTCACGGAGCAACAAGAAGGCAAGAGGCTGGAGCCAAGGAGGCTGGGTGGGGAGGGTGCAGGGAGAAGACTGGAGAGACGCAGGGGGAAGGGCACATGGTGTGGGTAAGACTGGACTTTGCTGGGATGCACTGGGAAGACGCCGGGGACTTCAGAACAGTGGCGCGGGCTGTTCAGTGGCATGAACGTGAGGCCTCACTCAGTATCCTGCATGATTAACTGTGAGGATTGCTCTTCAGAGAGCTCAGAGCGGGCTCACGACTGGCTAGTAAAACGTAACTCGCTGAGACTGTGAGACGCCGCCCAGTGACCGACAGGTAAAAGGCACAGGACAAAGCACAGGCTGTTGCAGATGGGAGGCTATGGTCACTGACACCATCTACTCCAGCAGGGAGTAAAAAGGAAAGGCAGTCCAGGGCCAGCCAGTGATATGGTGGTTAAGGAGGCTGGATCCCACATGACCGACTTCTCGATTTGGGTCCTAGACCCAGTGGCTTGGAAAAATATGCCAGGCACATGTGCGTAGATGCCCAAAATCCCAAAGGGAGAATGGTGGGAAGGGAATTATGGTGTGGCCAGCCCCCTTGGGGAGTGATTTCTCACTTTCCCTCTCTCTCTCTGTCTTTCTCTAGCAAGCACGTGAACCCTATAGCAAACCTAAAAACAACAAAATAAAAACTCAGTCCATTCCTCCTCACAGGAATGGTGCCCTCTGGCTGATGGCTGATGGCTGAGGTGTGTTCACCATAATCCCACCCAGGTAGATGGAGAGAAAAGTCTTGCTTTATGACATTGCCCAGTCCCTAACCCGCGAGGGCAGGAAAGCTCAGCTGGTTCCAGCAGAGCCAAGGACACGGAACAGGTGCATCTTCTACCCACCTCTCATACTCACACCATACCAGGGAGTTAAAAAGTGCTTGCTCTGAGGACTTTCTGGAAAACACTGTTTTCTATACCCAGAGAACTTGTCTCTCCTTCTGTCCCTTTCTTCTGCTTAAATAATTATAGAATATTGGGACAGACAGAAAGCCACATAAAACAATATTGTTTAAAAAATGTGCTTGTAAGGGGCCAAGTGGTGGCACAGTGGTAACCCAACTGGGCCCCATGGGAGGGCCCTGAGTCCGTGTCCTGGGGCCTCCTCCTGCATGCCAGGGGCACCCACATGTGCACTGCGACTGGGGGTGGATTGCTGTGTGAAGACCTGGTTTGAGGTGTCTTTCTCTTTTCTCTCATAAGAACAATTTGTGGACAAGCTTAAAACAAAACAAAACAAAACAAAACAAAAAACTAAGTCAACCAACATGTTCTTATTTTAAAAAAAGAAATTTAAAACAGGATATATTTTACTCAAAATGCCATAAAATTATTAAGTTTGATCTATCTATCGTTCTCAGCCTTCATTTGTACTTCAAATAGTTTTAAGATCATACTATATAAGTCTTTAAAAAGTTCGTGAAAAATGCACATTATGAAAAAATTATGCATGGATTTCAAAATTCTTGCTCCAAAGTAAACTTATACTTTAATCCCCTCTTTTCCACGAGCTTTTTGAAGTCCCTGCGTATATGCTGATTTTTCAAAAATTAAAAGCAAAGCATAAGAATTTATTTCTCCAGCGGGGCCAGCAGGTAGCGTGGTGGTTAAGGGGTTGGATGCCCACATGGCCAACCACTGTTCAAGTCCCAGACCTGGAGGTCTGAAAATCACGCTGAGTGTGTGTGTGTGTGTGTGCACCTAAAATCATGAGAGGAGAAAGGAAGAAAAGGGATTGCAGCGTGGCCATGGCCCCTGGGGGAGAGGGGGTTGATCTCTCATGCTCCCTCTCATTGTCTTTCTCTCTCCAGCAAGCACACCTGCCCTATGGTAAAAACCTTAAAAGCAAACAAAAAAAAAAGTATTTCTTCATGTTATTCAAACTTCTTATAAGTACACTTCTTTCTAATAGATATTAAACTATTTACCTTGCAAAAAACATCTTAAATCATGAATGTAATGTTTACTTCATTTTACATGTGTCTGTAGGCATGTTTAAAATATCTTGTGGCTGATAAACAAGAGCTTGGAAGAGGTTCCTAAGGACACAGGTCTTGCAGCCCAGTAAGGGTGCAGCTGGGTGTGTTTAGCTGTTTGCCCGCCGGCCCGCCCGGGAGTTACCTGCCACAGTGAACCACCACTGCGACCAGGTCATACATGCGGTCCAGGTTCACAGCGTCGCTGGAGGTGTTGAAGAGCCGGAGCTCCAGCGGGAAGACCACACGGTAGGACAGCTTGGTGTACCTGTGCAGCTGCTCCATGTACTTGAACCGTTTCAGGTGGAGGGCCAGGATCATAGGCAGCTTCTTCACTCTCATCCTGAGAAACCATGGAACCGAACATCAGTCGTAACCAACACCTGTTTGGGGATAGGACGCTCCATTGCCTGCACACATGGAGGGCAGGAAGGGTCTGACAGACCTACAACCAGCAAATAACCCAACAGCTCACACAGAAGAGGCATGCTCGCTATGCGGCGCTAACTAGTCCTGCAACCTTGGAACTGGAGTAGGCCAGCCAGAGAACAGGACGACAGTCTATTGTAGTAGATGTCTAAGGAGGTGTTGCAGAGTTTGTGTACTAAACAAATACAAGCTGTGGCTGGGTGGTTAAGGTGGCTGGATCCCCCACAGTCGACAGTGTAGTTCAAGTCCCAGGCCCAGAGTGCATGAGTTTGGGCATGCCCCAAATCCTCAGAAGAGACTGGGAGAGACATGGCCTGGGGAGTGATGTCTCACTTTCTCTGTCATGACCTCTCATTGTCTCACTTTCCCTCTCTCCCTCTGGCAAGTACATGCCCCTATACTGAAAAACTAAAGCAAACAAACAAAAAAATTGTTAAGGATATATATTTTTTAACTTTCTATATCTCTAAGTTCAAGTACTGCTACCAAGTGGTATGTACTATGCTGCGTACTCTACACGATTTCTCTTCAATCACAGGAGGACGGAGATTCTATCTGATCACCACCCACTTGCCGAGCACAGTACCTGGCACACAATACTCGATAAACACTTGTGAGTGAGTGAATGGGCAAACTGGACAGACAGACAGCTTTCTAAGCTCGGCCTGCTCCCAGCTTCACTGGTGAGGAAGGTAACTGACTTCCCCAGAGCGCCTTGGCTAGGAGCCCACGCAGCAGCTGCGCCCAAAGCCAGCCTGCTGGGCTCCACGGTCTGGTTTCTTCTCACTGCACAAAGCCACCCGAGTTAAATCCTCTCCATACCTTTTCTGGGCCTCCTGTTTGCTGCAGCATGTTTCACAATAATATTTTTGTTCACTACACAGTGTTTCTGTGTTGCTGAAGTCTCTGTAGAGAAAAATATTTTCATCTGTAAAGAAGTTCAAACATATGTGATATACACCATGTTTGAAATACCCCTTTTACCTGCAGGGTACTTTGTAAGTGAGAGTGGGGAGAGAAGTATTCAGAAAAGAGCTTTCTTTTATTTTTTTAAGAGGCTTTTGCTATAGGGCGCGTGCGCTTGCCAGAAAGACAGAGACAGAGAGACAGAAAGCGAGAAATCACTCAGGGAGGATGGCCACACTGCAATCCGTTCTCCTCCATTCTCCTCCTTGGGTTCTTGGGCACAAACGCACATGTGCCCCACATGAGTTTAAGCCACTGGGAGTCCAGCGACATAGCCATTACACTAACTGCTGGTCCCGAAAAGAGCTTTCTTAAGACTGGGTGCTATTATACCATGAGAACAGGGGTCTCCAACCTCTTTGGCACCAGGGCCCATTTTCATGGAAGACAATTTCATAGAAATGACCTTGAACCTGGGTGATGGCGGGGTGGGGTTTCATGATGATTCAAATGCGTTACATTCATTGTGCACTTTATTTCTATTATTATTACACTGTAACATACAATGAAATAATGATACAACTCACTATAAGGCAGTACACACAGCCACTCCCCAGTGCTAGCACCACCATCTCAGCTCCTCTTCAGATCATCAAGCATTAAGTTCTCAAAAGGAGCATGCAACCTCGATCCCAAGCACATGCAGTTTACAATGGCGTTTGTGTCTCTATGAGATCTATTGCCAAGGTTGATCTCTGGGGAGTGATGTCTCACTTTCTCTCTCTGTCATGACCTCTCATTGTCTCACTTTCCCTCCAACAGGAGTTGGAGCTCAGACAGTCACGTGATTGATGGGGAGTGGCTATAAAGACAAATGAAGCTGCACTTGCTAGATGCCTGTTCACCTCCTGCTATGCAGCCCAGTTCCTAACAGGCCACGGGATTGGCACCAGTTCATGGCCTGGGAGTTGGGGACCTCTGTATTAGAGCGCATCTACAAGTCTCTAACTATGACAAATGTTCAAATACAGCTTTATTTAATGAGATATACACAGGGATAAACAATTTTCTAACTGATTAAAAAAAAAACACTCAGGATTTGAGACCAGCAGATGGCATAATAGTTGTGTCACTGGACTCCCACTGGTGTCTGCTGTGGTTTGTGTGGTCTACTGTGGGTTTGCGTCCCAAATCCAGCAGTTTCAATCTCACGCCAGGCATGTGTGCCCAAGATCCAGAGAGGAAAACTGAGAAGGGATTGCACCGTGGCCATCCCCCTGGGGGGTGATTTTTCACTTTTTGTCTTTCTCTCTCCAGTGAGCACATGCACCCTATAGCAAAAATCTCTTTTAAAAAAAAGAAAGACAGAGAGAGAAAGAGGGAGAGAGAGGGGGTGAGAGAGGAAGGGAGGGAGGGAGGGAGGGAGGGAAGAAAGAAAAGGACGGACTCGGGATTTAACAGAGAATATGTTGGAAATTTACAATTATAATAGAAAAATACTATCTGCATTCAAAACCCACTGTAAAACTGTAAGTCAATGACAATCACATTGAAATGCAAGGTGACATTATTAATAAGAAAGTTTGCAGTTAATGAGAAAGAGTTTGTCTCAGGTGGTCTGTATTTTCAAGGTACCAAAGTAAAGACGGAGAAACGCAAACCCACCAGCTGCTCTTAGACCGCACTAAGAAAATCCCGATTATCAGCCAGAGACCGCCTCCCACCCCCCCACCCCCCGCACTCAGTCCCACTCCCACCTCACAGAGAATAAGGACTTTAGCCTTCCTCTGAGAGCAAAAGCCACTGACGTTGATAGACGCACATACGCCTTACCATGAGGTTTTACTCTGCTACTTAGAGCTTTCCCTTTCTAAATGTCACGGCTTTTCATTCTCCTCCGGTCATCGAGATTCCACTTACCATTTCTGTGGTACTACTTCAAAGGCCGAAAGAACGCTCAGAATATAATAATACCCTACAGCCTTAAAGTCTGTGACATTTCCTATCCATAAAGGGTGTCCTAGCCCCAGATGATCAGATTGTACTCAACAGGGAATGTCATTAAGAGGGTGTTCACAGACTCTGCCACTCACACAGAACGTATCAGATGCCCACACAGACTGTTCGTTCAGTAAGTCCCCAAGCGCCTCCTGAGCTGGGGGCTAGGGCCTGGGGCCTGGGGCCTGGCAGAGTAGCTGCGCTCACACAGCTCATGGTCTAAGACACATGCAAGGACCACTGCCCACCTGTGCTGACCAGGACAGCCCAAACAGAAGGTGCAGCTGCTGCTTCCTCTGCCTGAAACCTCCCAGCAGCTCCCTGGTACGTTCAGGAATAAAACCCAAACAGCACCTGCGTGGCCTCTGGGCTGGTCTGTCACACTGGCCTTGAGTCCCACTTTTTCTGCACCAGGGCATCTGCAGGGTGAGCTTCTTCCCAGAGAACTCCATGGCTGGCTGTACTGGCTGTTCAGAGGTCTGAACTTCCCCTCTCGAAGACTTTGCTGACCACTCTCCCAGCCCACCTGGCCATGGGCGTGTCTGCCCATTGAAACCACCACCCTGTTCCCGATTCCTGCCTCCACCCTGTGGGGGCCGCGACCCCATCTGTCTCAGTCACTGCTCTGTCCCAGACACATTCCGGCACTCAACAGGGCTGCGCGAACAGAGACAGGGCAGGCGGGAAGTGCAGGGAAAGCACAGAGGAAGGGGGCAGGGCTCTGAACCCGGGTGCGCGCAGAGGCACAGACGTCTCGGCCTATGTGAGGGACAGCTGTGGCAAGTCACACGGTGGCACACACACTACGAAGAGGCTGATGGGGACCCTGTGGCTCTGGAGCCCCACTAGCAGGTCTCAGAAAGGAAAGACCACTTTGGGGCCAACAGGTGGCATAGTGGGGTTAAGGCACTGGACTCCCACATGGATGACCATGGTTCCAGTCCCGGACCTGGTGGCTTGAAACACGCTGGGCGCATTTGCGTGTGTGGCCAAAATCCCAAGTGGAGTATGGAGGAGGAGAGACTGCAGTGTGGCCATCCCTCCCAGAGATGATTTCTCACTTTGTCTCTCTGTTTGGTGAGTACACATGTTCTATAGCAAAAATAACTCTTAAAAAAAAAGATCACTTTGGGCAGCCCCGCAGAAGAAGGACCTGAGGGGGTTGAAAGGCGGGGACGTCGTGGAGAAAGTAATTACCCACAACTTTCAGGTTCAGAGCTTGGTGCACAGAACGGACTCGAACTTGGCTGAGTGGATGTGTCCACAGAGGACCTGCTGTGAGGTATGTTTTAGCCACATGGGATTTACTGGGGTGGACCTGGGAAGCCAGGCAGAGGGAGTGAGTAGGCGGACAGTGGAGATGCGCATCTTTGGACTGTCTGCCACACAGACACTGCTCCGACCAGTCGGGGAGGTCACGAAGCCCACGGGCAGTGCAGCAGTGAGTACAGGATTAAACACTTTCTTTTTTTTTTTTTTTAAGAGGTTTTTGCCTTAGGGTGTGTGTGCTTGCCAGAGAAAGAGAACGAGACAGAGAGAGACTGAGAGAGAAAGTGAGAGATCACCCCCCAGCAGGGATGGTCATGCGCAATCCCTCCTCCTCCGTTCTCCTCTCAGGGTCGTGGACACACACTCACATGCGCCCAGTTTGATTTTCAAGCCACTGGGTCCGGGACTTGAACCACGTCGGTCATGTGAGAGTTCAGTGACGTAACCGCTATGCCATCTGCTGGCCCCAGCATTGAACACTTTCCACTACACCTGATTTCCCGAGTTTTCTGAAGCATTTGTGAACTCAGAGAGGTGGAAACACAGCAGAATTCTCTATCTAGCAGGTCTCGTTTTGGTCTAATTGTCGGCCGTGTGTCCCCAGTGGAATGGAGGTTGCGAGAGCAGGGAGAACAGGGGCTGTCTGAGTCCGCTCCTCCAGTCCCAGGGTCGAGCATGGGCTCAGGAATGAGCAGCACTCACGGGTTCTTCATGGAAGAGGCTGAAGAAAGGGACGTGGCGGCGGGGGACATAGCCCGTGTGGGACATCCGAGGCAGCCCACGGCGTCTGCAGGGATCCTGGGCCAGGGCTGCTGCTCCTGGGCGCCCGCCCTACCTCGGCCCTGATGAGAGGCGGTGCCTTTCCCTGCATGACCTCCACAGACCACAAAAGGATGGCGGAAAAGGCAATCCCTCGTGGGCTCTCAACTCAAAGTGCTACATTTTTTAAATAGTCAAACAGGTGATCTCAGAAAAAGAGCACCGGGGCCAGCAGCTGGCATGGAGGTGAAGGCGGCTGGCTCTTACATGGCCAACAGTGCAGTTCCAGTCCCGGACCCAGCAGCTTGAAAATCATGCCAGGCACAGGTACCTGCATGCCCAGACTCCCAGGAGGAGAAGGGATTTCAACATAGCCATCCCCCTTGGGGGTGATTTCTCACTTTCCCTGTCCTTTTCTCTCTGGCAAATGCACACACCCTATAGCAAACTACAAAAAAAGAAACAGACAAGCAGAAAAGCCATGGCAGGCAGAAGTAGCACTTATTATCTTAATTATATGAGTGTGTGTGTCTGTGACAGGGGAGGGAGGCTGGCAAAACCGATAGAAGCTAAAAGCATACATCCAAATTACAGATTAAAAACTTATTTTTAAGTTGAATGACTAATGACTTCCACTTGATCACAGTGGGCCTCCCTTCCAGACCACGTATACTTAGTTTTCATCTCGCTTGGGAGAGGACAGAAACAGAGAACAGCAGGATTATGTTGGTTTGGGAGGGGAAGGTTTTCTCCTGAAGAAATCGAGATGCTACCGCCCCCTCTGATGCGCCGGCCCGCTCCGAAGCCGGAAGCACCGTCAGGGTCCACGCGCTCACCTTAGACAGTGGGTGATGGAGGTGTTCTGCTCCACATCGACAGAGAGGTCGAGGAAATCTTCATCTTTGCTACTAACCTGCAGCAGAAGAGAAGGAAAATACGTAAGCCACAAAGTATGCCGTCGACACAGCGGAAAAACACGGGCGTTACGTCTCGGGAACCTCGAGCGCAGCCAGTCTCGTGCGCCTACGGACTAGGTGGCCAGCGTGGCCGCGCACACGCCCGACCTACAGGAAATCCCAAAGGCCCAACTGACCTTGTCCCTACCCCGGTTCTGATTCACTACTTTGAATAATTAAAACTCAGCTGGGGGCCAGCCCCATGGCACAGCAGTTAGGCACTGAGCAGAGAGCTGATCCCACACAGCTGTCCAGGGCTCGAATCCCAGCCCCACCAGCTTCCCCTCGGGCATGCATGTGCTCTGGATCCCGGTGGGATGAGACTGGGTGGAAAGAGGACTGCAGCCTGACCAGTCCTCACTGAGGGGGGTGCTTTCTCCCCACATACTCCTCTCTCTTTCGCACATGCACAGGGCCTCTGGCATTGGAAAAAAAAAAAGAAAAGAAAAGAAAAAGAAAAATTCAACTTGATTTTCTCTTCTCTGTATCCATTTCCCCCATAGTTTCAAAATTAGAAATATCAGATAAACACCTAAGAGGGATCTTTACAAAGTTCAAGGAGAATGCACATTAAGAAAAAACTGGGGGCCTGCTGGGCTGGGGGGTGTGGTGGTTAAGATGGCTGGATCCTCCTCTCACAACTGTGTGGCTCAAGGTCTGGACCTGGTGGCTTGAGAAGCACATTGGCACGTGGGCATGCAGGCCCCAAATGCCAAAAACAGTGAGAGGTGGAGGAGAAGGGGCTGTGGTGTGTACTTCTCCTATGGGGGTGATTTCTCGCTTTCCCTCTCTCCGGTGAGCACATGTACCCTGTGACAAAATTTTAAAGAGAGAGAGAGAGAGGTGGGGGGGAAGGAAGGAAGGAAGGAAGGAAGGAAGGAAGGAAGGAAGGAGAAAGAAAGAGAAAGAAAGGGAAAAACTATTCATAGATTTAAAACTTTTTTGGTACCAAAATAAATTTATACTTTAATTTCACTTGTTCACAAATGTTTTGAGGTCTCCTCCCTCATAGCTCAGAGACAGAACAATAAAATGGAAAAAAGGACAGGAGACATAGAAAACCTACGACCCAGGTGGTCACCCCTTCCTGAGCTGCTTTCACTTCCTGCCACACCTGGAATCGCCCCCTTCCTCCTGTGCCTCATCATCTGAGCTGTGTGTAGGGCCAAAGAGCCCGAGCTGCAGGGCTCAGAGTGCCTCACCGCCCATGCTGCCTGTTGGCCAGGAAGTGGTCGTCATTGCCAGTTCCGAGCTGTGATGACAGTGAGCCCTGGACGTGGCCTGGAGTCGTGGCTCCCAGAGGCCACCATACTGCAGGCTGCTCAGGCAGAGCGCTCAGGTACCCGCTGCTTCTCAGCCTTCCCAGCGCGCACAGCACCAGTCGGGACCTCACGCGTGCCCAGGCTCACTGCCGGCAGGTGCTTCCATGCCCCAGTTCTGCCACACGCCTGGCCTCTCACCCTCTTGCTCTTAGAGAGGGAGGCTCTAGATCCCACAGAGCTATTCTCTGTGGTTTGAGTCCTGGATCCTGCGGCTTCAAAATCACATGAGGAGTGTGTGCATGTGTGCCTGAAATCCCCAGGGAGAATAGAGGAGAAGGGACTGCAGGGTGGCCATCCCCGGGAGTGGGGGGGTGATTCCTCACCTTCCCTCTCTCCATCTCTCTCTGGTGAGTGCAGGTGCCCTATAACTAAAACCAAGATTTAAAAGAAAGAAAGTCTGATAACTACTTTATGACCAGAAATTAGCTAAAGAAATGTTCAGATATGGACACTCTTTTTTCTTTCCAAATTTGCCAGGGGTATGTGTACTTGCCAGAGAGAGAAGAGAAGGGAAATGAGAAAGCACCCCTGTGGGGGGTGGTCATGCCACTATCCCTTCTCTCCTTTCTCCCTCCTTTTGGGATTTTGCACACACACACACACACACACACACACACACACACACACATGATCTGGCATATTTTCCCAGCTGCTGGGTCTGACACTCAAACCATACAATTAGCCTTGTGGAGACCAAGAGCCTGAACCACCAAGCCACCGGCTGGCCCTGGACCATAGACCTTTACTTGTATGCAAGAACAGTCAAGAAAGAGTGCCCAGATTCACAACCTGTCTCTGCCACTTCCAAAGCAAATTACTTTAGACCAGCTACTGAGTTTCCTGCACCTCAGTTTCCTCATGTGGCGGTAAGGTTGAAATAACTTAAAACAAGCAAAATACTTTAGAAAGTGAGCACTCGATAAATCAGAGGGGGCAAAGCATTCAACATGGTAAAAAGCCAGGGCAAGTTTACTACCGTTGTGGTGACACATTAAATGTAAAAATTATATATACGTTAGTTCCAATCCCTATACAAAGGCATGTGTATTTAAACAGATCTGTCCCCTCCCTTACTGCTCTCTGCCATCCTGATTTTTTTTTTTTTTTTGACACTCGTAGCTGCTACAGTAGACCAGTGCATGAACGGCCAGTCCCTCACCGCTGCCTACACTGGCCTCTGAACCGTATAACGTGACAGATCTCACTGAGAGGTGATGTGTGTCCCTGTCCTTGACTATGAGTGAAGCCATGGGGCCTGCCTTGGAAGTGGGGTATTAGAAGACATGTCTTCTTTTTTTTTTTTTTTTTAAAGAGGTTTTTGCCTTAGGGCACATGCACTTGCCAGGGAGAGAAACAGAGACAATGAGAGAGAAAGTGAGAAATCACCTCCCAGAAGGGATGGCCACACTATAATCCCTTTTCCTCTGTTCTTCTGGGATCTTGGGACACACACACACACATGCGCGCACGCCTGGTGTGATTATCAAGCCACCAGGTCCAAGACTCGAACCGTACGTAGTCAGTCATGTGGGAGTCCAGCAATATGACCGCTATTCCGTCTGTTGGCCCCTAGGAGACATTTTATAAGCAGAGGCCACCACTAGCTCTTGTGAAATTGCTCTCCTGCATTAGCGTAAGAAGGATCAGGGGCTGGCAGGTGGTGTGGTGGTCAAGGTTGACGTCCACATGGTCGACCACGGTTCAAGTACCAGATCTGGCAGTTGCTTCCTCTCTCTCTCTGGTCAAATTGATGAATAATAATAAATAAAGTTAGAGAAATGATTCTTTTTTAAAAACAAACCAAAAAAGGGAACCAGCAGTTAGTGTAATGGCTATGTCGCTGGACTCCCACGTAGTCGACCGCGGTTCGTGTCCCGGACCCGGTGGCTTAAAACTCACGCCGGGCGCGTGTGCGTGCGTGCCCAAGATCCCGAGAGGAGAATGGAGGAGAAGGGATTGCGGCGTGACCATCCCCCCTGGGGGGTGATTTCTCGCTTTCTGTCTCTATGTCTCTCTCTGTCTGTCTGGCGAGCGCACGCGCCCTACAGTGAAAATCTCTAAAAAAAAAAAAAAAAAAAACCTCAATATTCGTAAAAGAAAAATGACAGAATCCAGAGTCTCCACAAATTAACATCTTTCAATGCCCTGGATAAGATCCAAATTTCCAATATGCGAAGAATCAGGAAAATGGAAGATATTCTTAAAATAAAAGAAAATCAACTGAGACCCATTTTGAGATGACTCAGATGTTAGAAATACCAGACAAGGATTTTAAAGACACTATTGTAACTATGTTCAGTAAAGTAAAAAGAAATATAATTATAATGAGTTAAAAAGTAAGAAATCCCTACAGAGAAAAGGAAACAATAAAAACGAAGAACTCTAAAGGAAATTTCAGAACTGAGAAATATAATGCATTAGATGAACACGATAGACAACTGGAGATGGAGGCAGCAGCTCTGTGGTCTGGTGGTTAAGGTGGCTGAGTCCCACATGACCAACCATGTGGTTCAAGTCCCGGACCCTGTGGCTTGAGAAACATGCCAGGCACATGTGCTTAAGTGCCCAAAATCCCAACCGGAGGGAGAGACAGAGGAGAAGGGACTGTAGTGTGACCATTCTGCAGGGGGTGCTTGTCCTCCCCACTCTATCTCTTGTGAGTACACACATTCACTAGCAAGAGAAAGAGAGAGAGAGAGAAGAAAAGAAAGAAAACTGGAGACGACCAAGGAAAGAACAAACAGGGGTTAAAATCACAAGAGAAATTAGAAGAGATTTTCAACTAATTGCTTTCGCAAGTTCTTTCCTCTGTTGGACCTTTGAATACGGGCACACACACGTGCATGAACACAAATGGAAGGCCTCCTCCTGAGTTATACAATTTGATTACCTGCACGTGCTGAGGATGACTTTAAAAAACAAAATTTTTAGGAGTATTTTTTTGCTACAGGGTATGTGCACTCACCAGAGAGACAGAAAGCAAGAAATTACTCCCCCTAGGGGGAATGGTCACACCATCATCCCTTCTCCAGTCTCCTTTATGGAATTTTGGGCACACACACACACATGCCCGGAGTGAGTTTCAAGTCTTCAGGTCCAGGATTTGAACCATGGTTAGCCAGACGGGAGGCCAGCGACATAACCATTACATCATCTGCTGGTTCCGAAGACGACATTTTTATTAAAGAGCACAATGTGGAGACTTCAAACTTAAATGTCCCTTTCAACTATCATATTAAGAAAAAGAAACAAAGAGAACATTGGAAGTGAGGGTAAGAAAGAAAAGAAAATATTTTGAACCAATGGCAAAGAAAACACACTATAAAATTTATAGGATGCAGTCAAAGCAGTGTGTAAAGGGAAATTTGTACCTTTATATATTTATATTTGTAAATAAAAGAGCAAGAACCACTTTTCTAACTGCTGTATCCCTAGGACCTAAAATGAGTCCCACTGTTTCGCAGGTACCCAATAATAATTAATTAATGATTTATGAGAAGTTTTTGCTGTAGGGTACATGCACTTGACAGAGAGACAAAGAGAGAGAAATCACCCCCCAGGGGGGATGGCCACACCGCAATCCCTTCTTCTCCATTCTCCTCTCCGTTTCCTGGGCATGCATGCACACGCGCCTA